ATACACACTAATCTTATACAATAAATATTAAATAAATATATATAGCATTATAAATAAATTTTTAAATAAAAAATTAAACAACGATGCACTAAATTATAATATCACATAATATTATAAAGAAAAAATACATATTAATTCAAACTCCCAAAAACAATAGAAATATTTAAATTTAAGACTTTATTTGGGAGTCAAAACTAAAATTTTTTTTAATATCTATTATTCGATTTATTAAATATTTAAATTTAAGACTCCATTTGAATAATATTTCCACCCAAATGTATGACTTTATTTTTTTTCAACTTTATTTAATTAAAAAAATTAAATGATCAAATAACTCAAAATCTCACTCAAATATTAATTCTTTTGCCATATAAGCATGACATGGCAATATTTTGCCATCCAAGCAGCCAAGCATAAACGGCAGTTAAGCCATGCGAGCAAGTTCAAACGGCAGTTAAGTTGGCGTGAGAAGAAGGGCTTAATTGCTTTGATAGCACAGTTCAAGGGCTTATATGCATCAATTAAAGTCAAGGGGCTTAACTTATGGTTTTGCCAAAAAAAAATACAACCATTGCTGGGGTTTTCTAGAGATCAGACTTGTAGTGAGCGAGATTGCCTCCAGGGCCTAAATGTGGGCCTGTAGACTATCAACTGGGTTGGGTTGGGTTAAGAATATTCGGCCCATTAAAAAATATTGGGTAAATGCCTTATTTAGGTATCTGATCTTGAAATCGTAACACTTGAAACCCTGAAGTTATTAAATTGCATCGCTCAAGTCCAATCGTTACATCGCCGTTAGCCCGTTAGGCCCAATCGAAATCTAATCCTAAGACTGCAAATCTATTTTTGGGCTTGCAAGCCTAGTCGGGCAACAGTCCATACCCCGTTTACGGCTCTGAACCCTATCATGACAGCGTGTTCCCACTCTAACGCTGAGTGTGATATTATAGTCACTGCTAATGTGGCGCTAATTTTATTTATAATTTTATTAGTTTGTAATCTTTTTTTAGTTAATTAATTATGGTATTAGTAAATATTTATTTAAATTTTAATTTTAATTTATTAAATACTAAATATTAAATATTAAATATTAATTATTTTTAACAATTAAATTAAAAATAAAAATTTCACCATTTTAATAATTAATGGTGACCATAACGAATCGCCCAAACTGAAGCTCAATATCATTCTTTTCTCTCTTTTTATTACCAAAGGTATTTTCCCCAATAATTTATACATTATTTTCTAAGGTCCAAACCATAACCTAAGGGGTATTCAAGAAGATTTCTTGCCATCATGGAGTGATAGAAAAATGTGTACATTGGTGCGATGGCCAAAGCTCCATCCAACATGCAATTACCTATATTGAAAAGAAAATCTGTTTGTCATGCCCTAGCAAATAGAGAAGAGGCAATGAATGAGAGAATACATTGCATTTTGGCTGGCAGAAAAAGAATCCTAGGTGCAGCCTTTCTGATATCTTTCAACTGTAAGTAAAAAAAATAGATATAAAGGCAACATGTAAACTCCATAGACGTTGAAATGATTCTAAAAAACGAAAAATTGGATTCAACAATCATTATCCAATTTTAGCCTCTTACATTTCCTCAATCTATCCAAACGTTTCAATTCATTGAATTGCA